TGGAGGAGGAGCAGGAAGAAGTGTAAGAGGAGGAGGAACAGGAGGAACAGGAGGCAGAGGAAGAGGAGGAGGAAAAGCAGGAGGAAGTGGAAGAGGAGGAAGAGGAAGAAGAGGAGGAAAGTAAGAGGAGAAAGTAAAGGAGGAAGAGTAGGAGGAGGAGGAGGAAGAGGAGGCAGTGGAAGAGACAGATGAGGAGGAAGAGGAAGAGGGGAGGAGGTGAAAGAGAAGGAAGAGGAGGAGGTTGAAGAGGAGGAAGAAGAGAAAGAGGAGGTAGAGGAGGAAGAGGAAGAGTAATAGGAAGAGGTGTAAGAGAAGGAGGAAGAGAAGGAGGTAGTTTTATCTAAGAAACTAGGTAGTTATAAAATGAGGGAAGTGTGGTAGGAGTGGGTTCTCTTCTTGTCTTTCATATGCCAAAGATTTGTGGTGGAGGTTGGAATAGATGCTGAGAACAAATTCCCCCATACTCCCATTTACATGTAGCTCTTCTTTACTCTTTTTCATTTTGTATAGTATTCCATATATAAGCAATTGGTAATTAGTAATTAAATTAATATATGAATTTGGATTGCTTTCTTTTATTTCAATATTTCAGATAATTCTTTAATGAATATAGTTGTAGCTGTTTCCTTCAGCACATATGTGAGAGTTTCTCTTCAATGGTATCTTAGTCTGTCACTGCTACTGTAACAAAATACCACAGAATGGATCATTTAGAAGCAATAGAATTTTATTTCTCACAGTTCTAAGTGGTGGAAAATCTGAGATCAAGGTGCCTGCAGACTCAGTGGAAGGATTAAAAAGCATTATGGTACTTCCTTCAATGTCTTTTGTAAGAACATTAATCCCAGCTGAGAGTAGTGGCTCATGCCTGTAATTTCAGCATGTTTGAGGCCTTTCTGGACTACATAGTGAATTCATAGCTTCTGTTATTGTATTCAATAGTTTTTCATTTTTTTAAATAAAAGTCTTACACATATTTGTAGGATTTATTCCTAGCTACCTTGATTTTTAACCCACATAAACAATCCAAATAAAGATCCCTTTTCACTTGCTATTTGATTACTCTGCCACACAGCCCAGATCTTATCTTCTGTGCTTCTGAAATATGACATAAACTACAAGTGTGTGCGTGCATGCATGAGTGTGTGTGTGTCTGTATGTGTGTGTGTGTGTGTGTGTACTGGATTTTTTATTTACTGATAATGTTCACTCAACTGAGTTTCAGTAACTGAGACTGAAATATAACAAGAGAGATCTAAACCTTTCTCCTTCATGACTTTTGCAAGGCCTATGATCCTCTGCTGTCAAATCTTGAGGCTTCAAGCTTTTTAGGGCACCCTGCACATGGCCTGCAGCATCGGGAACACAGTAACTGCTTACAAGTTCTTACTCGGCATTTCTAGCAACATGGTTGTTATTCATTTTTGTAATCTCTATTCTATTGTCTTCAACCACAAATCTCCGTAGATCTTCAAAGTGACTTCCACTTTTAAAATTATTCTTCGACAATTTCATAAACGCATATAACATATTTTGCTCATTTTCATTATCCGTACTATCCTCTTTGATCTGCCTCCTACTCCCACTGATAGCCTTTTCAACAAATTCTTTTCCTACTTTCACAGGGTTTTCGGAGACCCACTGGAGTTTAATAAGGGTTGTTTGCCTGACCATGAGTGAGTAGTTATTTACTGAAACATGGACAACTTAACACTGGTTGCACCAATGAATGACTCCTCCTTCCCTAGCAATAGCTGATGGCCAATAGCTCTGCAGAAAGGGGTGGAGCCTCACAAGCCCCTCCTCCATCCATGATGGAATCTTTAGCTCCAGATTTTCTGCAGGTCTTTTAAAAAATGTATTTATTATTTTTATTTTTATGTGTTTGACTGTATTTATTGAATGTATATATAAGTGCACCCATGTCATGAAATGTCTGAAGAGGTCAGAAAAGTGTATCAGATTCCCCTGGAACTGGAGTTACAGGCTGTTGTTAGCCACAGGTGGGTACTGGTAATGGAACCCGGGTCTTTTGCAAGAGCAGCCATGGCTCTTAACTGCTGAACCATCTCTCCAGTCCTTGTGCAAGTCTTGTTCAAGTAACAATAGCTACTGTCAGTTCACAGGTGCCATGTCCAAAAAAGAAAGTTTCACAGCATTCCTCCTCATCCTCCAGCTCTTACATTCATTCAGCCCCCTCTTTAGCAATGTTCCCTATGCCTTGGAGAGGACAATATAAAATTTCCATTTAAGGGCAGAGCTTTCAACAGCCACTTTTTCTCAACACTTTCACCAATTTCTGCATTAACTGCCCACCACTGCAAACAGAACATTCTCTGTCCAAGGCAGAGAGAGCCACTAATCCCTGGGTATAAACATGCACATTTAGATGAAAGTTTCACATGTCCATTTAGCAGAACAATAGTAATAGGTTCCTACCTGGGGGCTATGATCTCTACAGCTATGGGCTTTTGATCAGTTTTACAGTGCTAGGTATGATTTCCTTCCTATGAAGTGTGTCTCAAACCGAATCATATATTGCTTAACCCCTGTCATAAGACTGATTTCTAAAGATGTACATCACCCCTGGATTCATACTTGACACTTTCTCTTCTACCTTTGCCTGTGATAAAGCAAAATGTGTGACCTTGGTGAGCACCTGAGAGTTTTTCAAAGAAAAATATCTTTGTGAGGTGGCCTAGAGTAGGTTTTGACAAAGTTTTTTCAAATAAACAGTTCTCTGCTATGTGTGGGAAAATGATGCTTCTGGGCCTTACAAAATAAGAGGGATGTTAAGCTGATCATACCAAATTGTCTTTGGACACTGTATTATATTTAAAGTATGTTAAAGATCCTGCTAGGTTCTATAAGAAAGCAAACTTTGTTTATACCATCACTTTCTGAATACTTTTGATCACAAACTTGTTTTCTGCTTTTCATTATCAGCTATTATCATGGTAGTACCACATGCCTGACACTGGAAAATATTGATCATGCCCATCCCTCTGCTGTTTAGTGATTATAAAGCAAACCAAGTGATTTGTCCTAAGTTAACTCCTAGAGACATATGCAAAATCCTCAGTATGGCTCCAAAGACTATATCATGACAAAATATCCTCTAAAATTGATTCTAAATCCTTGAGTTTTATCATCTCAGCCATTCTTATACTATAAATGAGAAATAAAACAGTTTTGAGAATTTAAACCCAATAAAGAGCTCTTTGTATGTGAAGTGAATCTCATGGCAATGAGATAGATATTACAGTGTCTCCTCAAACTCTTCTACATTTCACTAAATAATTTCTTTATATCAAGGAAGCAACTAACTGAACTCATAAATCAGGCCACACTATAAAACACAGAATCTGCTCAAAAATACTTATCTAAGTCCTTATAATACAAAAGAGAAAATTTTAAAACATGAATCTTGATGGAATTCCCATATTTCTCTTCATTTCCTGGCTCCTGATATGAATGATCCTGATTTTCCCAGGCATGTTCACAGTGTTAGGCATGAAAAGAATAGGACAGACTCTGGAAAGTCATGATATAGAAACTGAGTGCAGCAATGTAATGTTGGGTGGAATTTAGCAGGCAATTTGCCTACCTGAGGCTTGCCCTTGTCTCAACTAATATAGATAAGTTTAGGCTTTGCTGAGCCAAAACCTTCCAGAGATGATCATTTTCTTTCTATCCCACTTGGAGGCACAAGCTTCTTGGAAGTCAAGCAAAAATGAAACTATGATCTTGAAGACTACTACACATCAGTACACAAAGCCTCAGTTATGAAGATGACAACTCCTCTCCCTTTTTCTCTCTCCTCTTTGTCTTCTGTATTTTTCTGCTTGGATTTGTGTGTTTAAGACAAGTCTCACGTACCCCAGCCTGGACTCAATCTTGCTGCATAACTGAGGATAATATTGAACTTTTGATACTCATTTTCTACATCAATGATACTGGAACTCCTCCAGTTAGGCAACTATTCTACCAACTGAGCTATATCCCCCACCATCTCTTTTGTATCATGCTTGATACAAAGATACCCAGTTAGTGACATACAACAGAAATCTGGGAGAAATCAGTTAACATTTATCTTTTGGCCATCAATTTCACCTCATTGTACAATGGGCTTTGGGCTGGGTTTGAACTCCTCAAAGGTGAATGTCACAGGTTTCATTAACTATTTTGTTTTAGACAGTCTCCCATAGAACCAGCCACCCTGGAACTCACTATGTAGGCCAAGCTGGCCTTGATTTCACAGAGATCCACCTACCCCTGACTCCAAGTGCTAGGATTAAAGGTGTGCTCATTAATATTTTATATCAGCCGAAAATGCTTTGGGGAAAGGCCAGGCTTGGTGAACCATATCAGTAATCACAGTACTCAGGAGGCAGAGGCAGGATTGCTTCAAATTCAAGACACACCTTGACTACATGGTGAGTACCCGTGAACCAGGGCTATGTAACTAGACCTTGTCTCGAAAAAAGCAACCAAACAAACAAGTCAGGGAAGGGTATGGTACTTTTGAACTGTAGCTTCCATCAATTTTGCAGCTATTTACTCGTCTTTTCCCTTTTTATACCCTTTCAGTCTACTTTTCTGACTTCATCTCAAAAACAACCAGTATAGGATGTGCAAGCTAAAATACATTAAAGAATTTACAGATTTTATTTTCTCTGAAGAGGGTAAAACGAAGATCACTACAATTTCCGAAAACTTGGCTAGGCTGTCCTAAGTCCTGCCCCCAGGCAGAATAGACCAAGATTTTTGCCAAGTAAAATTGCTAATTTTCTAAGAGAAAGGGCTAGCACATTGCTCTTTAGAGCATTCTGAGCTTGCCTGTGCAATCTTTTTTTCTACCCTGCAATTTCCTGTTGGTTATAAATGAAACCTTTCTAGCTGTTAATGCAGGCTGTGAATTGAAGGAAAAAAGCATGTAATTAATCATAGGAGGTGGAGGGGGGGATTCACTAAGCTTGAGTTACAGGGGAGAAGCTGGACAAGGCACTAGGACCTAGAAGGCAACTATCCACCCTGGCAGGAATTTCTTGCTTGGAGCTCAGACAACAAAGGCATAGAGAGATTGGTTTTCTTTCTCTCAGCATCTCCACCCAACCAGCAGAAAACCGGTGAGTAGGGCTTTCCACTGATTTTCAAGCAGAATGTAACAGATGTCAAACCGGAAAAGCACAAGGCAAAGCTCTTTCTATGTCTGTCTCTCTCTCTTTCTCTTTTATTTGCCTTATTCTATAGGATTTTTGTCTTCTAAGCTTCTACCTGGGATTTTCCTTTGGAAAAGTGAGTTTGTTGTTCCTTTGTTTTCACTATGATGTTAATTTGGAATAATTTCACTTCTGATTCTAAGCAAAGCATTATTGACACAGCCCGCCTGGGGGAAGCTTGTACTTGTCTTGAGGAGGTGGGATCTTACTACTGCAGGTTGTCTGAGGGAGACAATGCTGAGCTCAGCATAGGTCATCGTGACATTGGAAAAAAGGGGGATTGAGCCTGAAAAAGCTACCAGCTATCAGTAGCCCTTTATCTCCTCTTCCCCTGGCTCCTTGCAAATCTTGATGTGGCAGTGTGTGGCAGCTGAGCCCTGCTGGCTTTGTGAGTCCTTTTATCCCCATCTGTGAGATGAATCTTAATAGTTTGGTTCCTTGAATAGCACTACCTTTATGAGTGTTTGGGGGCTTTGCTTGCATGTTTTCATTGTTTTTTGAGGGTGGGAGGTTCAGTAGAAAAGGGGAAAATCAAAGCCTGACCGACCGATGACCATTTTTTCCTCAGTTAATGCACCTAGGCAATAGACAAGTTTTGAGTGAATTGCATGCTGTGAGTGTCAAATGCTCCTTCCGTAGGAGAAGAAAGCCAGAACAATGAAAGGTGTACTTGTTTGTAAAGGTCCCATATGCTGTTCAGGGACTCATTTGGGAATCTTTCCACAATTAAATTATTCCATTAAGAGGTGTCGCTGTATTCGTGGGGAGGGGGTGAAACACCTGGAAAGAAAAAAGGATTTTGTGACCAAATGGAACCAAGGAAAAAAACGGAGCTAATGGCTTGTTAAATACCTGGTTTTTCAAATCCCCCCCCCCCCAGTTTATTTCTTTGAATGTTGGATAGCTGCACCAGCTTAACAAGGAGAGAGCTCGATGAATAGCACAAAGACATTGGGTATCCCCTGGAGGCTATCCCTTTAAAAGAGAATCCTAGTTTATTCTGGGGGAGAGGATGCACATATTAGAGTAGGAAAAAAGGATTTGGAATAAAATTAAAATATTCTTCCTGGTCATTGTACTGAGATGCAAAGATTGCTTCTGAAGCTGGAGATGCTAACCTTGGTTAGCTCTCTCTGTTTCTCTTCAAGCGGAATTTTGTCAGGCTATGGATTCATTTACAACCCTTAGTCATGTGGGCATGTGTGAGGAAACAGATGCCAGTTTTAATGTATTTAGCCCGAAGTTACAATTTGATAGGAGCCACTGTCAGTAAGTTCCAGGATTTTAAGCTATTTCAACACCCCCCCCCTCAATTTGGAACATTGCCAGAAGTGCCTCCCTTTCTATCTCTTGCTCCTACCCCCTGCAGCACCCATCCCTCAGCCTACCACCCAGCCCCTCCTTCTGCTCTATTAAGATCAATATTCCTGCAGGTCAGGGGCAAAGCAGCAGATGGGTCACAGGCTTTTTTTCAACCAGCTCTTTTCACAGGCAGCAGATTGCAGATCTGGATCTGGCTAATACTTGAATTCTTTTTCTTTTTAATCCCCCCTTATTCTTTGCATCTCCTTATCTCCACCCCTTTCTCTAACATTCAGGTTGCTGTGGTTCCACCGAAATATGGAACTTGATTTTGGACACTTTGACGAAAGAGATAAGGCATCCAGAAATATGAGGGGGTCGCGGATGAATGGGCTGCCAAGTCCCACTCACAGTGCCCACTGTAGCTTCTACAGAACAAGAACCTTGCAGGCATTAAGTAATGAGAAGAAAGCCAAGAAGGTACGTTTCTACCGCAATGGGGACCGCTACTTCAAGGGAATTGTATACGCTGTCTCTTCTGACCGTTTCCGTAGTTTCGATGCTTTGCTGGCTGACCTGACTCGATCCTTGTCTGATAACATCAACCTGCCTCAAGGAGTGCGCTATATTTACACCATTGATGGGTCCAGGAAGATTGGAAGCATGGATGAGCTAGAAGAAGGTAATTCAAGCAGTGGGTAGTGGTCCCTGGTGGGAAATGGCATCCCTGATTATGATTACATTCTTGGTCTTCTTTGAAGGGAATTAGGCAGTTTGTTTGTCAAAACATTAGGTCGATTGATGCTCAGACTTTTCATTCCAAAGATATCAACAGGGCCCTTAGCTCCATCACTCTTCATGGGCTTCTGGCTGTGCTGGAGCACAAGTACACATGGTGTTGATAATGCCTTATGCTTATTTGCCCCAGTATACAAAGGGAAATCTGAATTGTGACATTTATTCTAGATGTTGTTCATAATTAACTCTGTATAGCATCAATCAAGGTAGCCCATGAAATCATTAGGGAAAGGAAGAATGGTTGGTTGGTATAATAGAGAAAATTTTGTGCCCAAATTTCCTATGAAGCTGCTGAGAAGGTATTTGGGGATTGCAACTCATTGGAAATAGACACTCTAAAGCAAGACTTCCTGAACATGTTCACAGAAGATTATACTTTTAGGTAAGTGGTTGCTGCTCAGCTGTTGCTTCTATAAAGCTCACTTCAGGGTGTGTCCTTTAGACTGAGATCATTGGAAGAAATACCAATGAAAGCTGTAGGTATGTGTGGTATTTTAATGAAGACTGTTTCTATTAGAGTAGGATGAGACACTCAACCCAAATCTTTCAAAACCCTCTCTAGATTTTGGAATTCCAAATTATTTTTTTATAACTAGATTGCTGAAAACCCTGGCAACCTCTGGACCCACCTGATTAACAATGAAAACCTCAGCTCTTCCCCAAACTTGCTCAATTATAACATCTTCCTTGAGGTCATTTAGAAAATAGATCATGGAACACATTGATAAGATTCTACATTACCTGTAAATTATAAAGGTTGCAGGGTTTAGCACAGATGATAAATTTAACCTGATACATGTTTAAAGGATGATTTCAAAGAATAGTGACCATGAAAATAGTCATTCTCCAACCTTTCCTGCATTATTCAGCTGTCTTTCCCCACTGCCTCCTGAGTAAGGTGAGTTTAGTGCAAGCAGATCTCCAGAGAAACTAAATTATGAGTTAGTCAACAAAGAACAGCACATTTACTGAGTTAGTAGGAGTACTCCACCTGTGTTTCATTGCTTCTGTGTTTCTTGAGGTCCTAGACAAAGGAGCAGGAAGGCATGCCCTATACAAAACCGTATTTCTCTCAAGTAGTTGTTTTCAAGTTGTCAGGCAAAGTGATTGGTGCCAGTAACTTATAAGAGACAATGTCTGTATGGTTGTTGCATCAGAGCCTCGATGTTCAAATCCAAGATTTTTTATATAGCTGACTTTAAAAAAAATCTATGCAGAGGAGACTAATGATTTGACCATGTAAGAATGGATACACAGAGGTTAATCCTAAGCTTTCTTCATTATCAGAGGATTGGTCATTCCAGTGCATATTTTAAAGGGAGGTGAGCCAGGGCAATCTGTAACGCTTGAAGCTCTATTGAGGGAGCTGTCCAACAAGGTAATCAATAAAAGTGTGTTGTCTGTAAAGTTGCTGAAAAACCTATAATTCAGTCAAAGTTGAGGGATTTCTCTGTAATAACTTTTACAATCAAAGTCTATCAAACCACCCAATTTGTATTCATTTCCATTGGCTGTGAACATATAAAGGCCACAATAGATGTTAGGTCCAAATTTTGAAACAAGTATTGAGAGCAAGAATGATAATATTTGTATATTTAACATAAAAAGTGTTATGCACAGATTTTACCCCAAATTCATTTAAAAATGCATTTAATTTTTCTTTACGTGTGCATGTGTGTTTGTGTGTGTGTGTCTGTGTGTGTGTTGGGAAAGTTGATAATAAACCATTTTAATTTAATCTGGATAGGTGATAAGAGTGATTTTTAAAAGCTTGTACCTTTATTTTCACCTATATCACCCCAAGTCCAGCTGAATTGGACCTATCCACCATTTGTGGGTCAAGCGATACTTCCTGATGAGTTTCCCAACAGTGTAAGATGAGGATATGATTCAGTTACATTTATTCAAATACCAGCTACAAACCCAAGAGACAGTGTATGTTAATGATTTTCCAGTCCTGACTACCACCCATTTTGTTTAGGACACACCTGGAGGTATTTCTGGGAGTGTGTTGATAACATATTTTTTTCCATTGTCACAGAGTCAAATGGGGAAGGGCACGGGGATAAGGAAGACAAAGAAAAAGAGTGCTTTTCTCACTTATTTTGTTCTTTAGAAATACTTATCTGTGAAAGAAGGCCAGTTCTTTTACTTTGTTTACTTTTCGAAAAGGATAGATGAAAGTTTGAAAATTATTAATGTACACTGCTTTCTGTAAGGCTGGAAAGATGTTTGGAAAGATTCCTGGTGAAGAATAAGGAATATTAGGTTCTAGTCTTAAGGGAAACAGATTACAGTAGAAAAAGAAATGTTGGGGAACAGATTTGTTTCAAATTCAGATCTGCCTGTATAAACTTGTGGAAACACTAGAATCCCTATGCTTCAATTTTTTGGTATAATTTTTGTTGAATTTTTTGTGTATTTTATACAAAGCATCTTAATCATCTTTATACCCTCTCCCCTGTCTGCACCTTCCTATAGTCCCCCCACTACCAGATTTCATGAATTCTGTTAAGTTTTAAGGCCTATCAAGTCAAGTTAGTGTACCCAGACATCTCTCAATGCAAGTTCATCATCTGGGGTCTAGTCAGTCTGTCTAGAGTCTCTCCCCTAAAGACGATCAACTCTCCCTCACCCTGCAGTAATCAGCTGCACAGTAGTTTTTTTTTGTCTGAGGTTGGGATCTGCTTCCCGTTTCTCCAGTTTGCTGGGTTTTTGTCTGCTTGAGTATGTATGAGTCTTCTGCATTCTGACATTATTGTGGTCAGTTCATATGAGCAAGATCTCAGGAGCCTGTAAGATTCTGTTTCCATATAGTTGTTCACCTCTTCTCCTGGCTATTATTTTTACATCTGTAAAATGAGAGCAATCGCTTTGAGAATGAACTAAGAAATGGATAGGAAGTACGTTCTGTTCTTCCTGGTACACAGTAGCATCCAGTGAAGTGTAGGTAGCTATTATTGTCTAAGTCATTCTAGTCTGTACCTGATTAGGTGCATGGTCTTAGGTTTCTCTCATTCATCAATAATACTGATTAGTTTTTTCTTTTTAAAATAATTGTTTTAGTCTGATGTGGTGGCTCATACTTCATAATCCAAACATCAGGAAGCTGTGGCAATAGGATATTCAGTTTGAGGCCAGCCTTGGCTACAGAGTGTTCAAGCATATTGTGTTTCCAAATGGTCAGAATATTATGTAGTTAGTCTAAAATTAAATGAAATGAAAAGCAACTAATAATCACTCCGACATTATGGCGTTCCTGGTACCCCTTTTGTCTAATGCCTCTAGTCAAATGTCTCTGCTAGATGTGGAAAGAATCAAGGGAAACATTTTGAATCAAATTCAAGTGTTTTATGTCAGCGTCTCCACAGCACTTTGGGCACAATAAGCGTCTTGACAAAGTCACAGAGGATGTGACCCTCATTAACTTTTCTAAGCAGGTCAATGAATGACATCCATTGATGATAATTCCTTTTGTCTTATCTTTGCCTTACATTGTAGAATATTCCCCTCTTCTCTTTATGCTGTCTAATCCTTTCCTCATCCCCATGTCTATATGTACTCAAAACATTTTTTTAGATTTTATTTATTTATTTTTATGTGTATGCTTATATTGTCTGCATGTAGGAAAGTGCGCCCGTGTTGTGCAATGCCCACAGAGGTCAGAAGAGGCTGTTGGATCCCCTGGGACTAGAGTTAAGGACAGTTGATAGCTGCTATGTGGGTGCTGGGATTCGAACCCGGGTCTTCTGCAAGAACAGCCAGTGTTCTTAACCGCTGAGCCATCTCTCCAGCCCCATACTCAAAACAATTTTAAGAGCATATTTATGAGTAGCCAGTTTTCTTAATCAAGACAGATTTGAGCATTATTAATTATGCAGGATATAGGAGGCATACTTGCAGCTTGGACAGTCAGACAGTTTTAGTTATATAGTGACACTTTATGATTCAGTTCCTTTACCATAGCTCATTTGTTCCAGTGTAGTGAAACCACTTTTGCACTAACTTATTTTCTAACTGCTGAAGCAAGATCCTTAAGAGGAATTCATTATTAATGTGCATAATACAATCATGCAATAAAACATCATTTAATATTTTAATGTAACAATAGAATAAAACATCATTTAATATTTTCTTTCTTGAGTTAGGAAACCATGAAGAATAAGAGAAAGTCCAGGTAAAAGTGGTTTTGCATTGGGAGGGTATAAATGTATATAAAGTTTTTGAAAATGGAGCCTTTCTAAAAGTGAAGGGAGGTAGGCATTGGATCATTTTGAACCCTGTTACCTTTCTGGCCCTTGAACTGTGCTTCCATCCCTTCATTTCCTTCACCCCCCATTCTAAAGGGTGGGAAATAACCCCTGGAAGCCATGGCAGGACGGGAACTCAGCTGTGTAGAGGTGCAATACATCTCACCCATCTCCAAGTGCCGGGTCGCTGACTGTAGGAAGCATCAGGCTCTGAAAATAGACATGGATAATGTTTGCAGGATTCAAACAAGGAAGTTTTAGTGTCTAGTGAAGCAACACATCTATGTCTTTCCAGTAACAGAAGCAGAATGCCTTTTGTGGGGGGTACCTATCATATCTTTAGCATTTGACTAGTGTAACAACTCTGATTTCAACAAGCCTGCTGTAGGCAGAAAAGACAATGGAATTCCTCTTATAGATCTTTGGGCATATGAAGGACTCTGCTACCACCTACCGAAGCATCTGCAGTTTATAAAAAAAATCAAGACAGAGATTAAATGACTTGCCCAAAGTCCTACAAATCCTAAGTGTCTGGGTGACACTTAGAATGAGAATTAAAATATGTTTGTCTCAGCTTTCTGAGGGTAGGATTTACAAGCCTGTATACCACCATGCTCCACTCCAAATCACTATTGTTGTTTGTTTTTGTTTCCTGTAGCCCAGGCTAGCCTCATACTTCCTAAGTAACCCATGATAGCCTTGAATTCTGTATCGTCCTGCTTCTATCTCCCATGTGCTAGGATTTCAGATGTGCACAACCATGCCTGGACACACCACTACTCTTTCTTTTAAAAATATTTTATTTATTACTTTTATTTTATGTGTATGAGTGTATTACCTGCATGTATGCGAGTGCACCCATGTCATGCAATGCCATGGAAGTCAGAATAGGGCTTCAGATTCCCCTGAAACTGGAGTTAAGGAAAGTCAGAATGGCTTCAGATTCCCCTGAAACTGGAGTTAAGGACGGTTCATAGCTGCCGTGTGGGTGCTGGGAATTGAACCCGGGTCCTCTGCAAGAGCAGTTAGTACTCTTAACTGCTGAGCCATCTCTCCAGCCCCCACACCACTATTCTTAACCATCATAAATATTCTGTCCTCAATTAGATTCAGGAGATGTAGCAAGAAGCAGTGGCTTTGCTGACTGTGAGCCATAGAGTTCTTGCATTTGTCATTTGCTGCACCTTGAGGTGACCTCCATAGCAGTAGGCAATCTTGATTTTTTTTACACAGTCTCAATATGTAGAGCAGACTAACTTCCAACTCACAGAAAGCCACCTGCCTCTCTGAGTACTGGGATTAAAGATTCATACCACCACACGTTGCTTACAGCAGACAATCTTGCCTGTGAGGCACAGGACTTCAAGACTGTTCATTTTAAAGAGTGATCACAACTCAGGTTCGCTGACCCTGATACTTTCTTTACTTTCCTTTAGCTTTGGTTCTACCTCACCTCACTTCCTCTCTGTCTTAGCTTTTAATTCCTCCTCTTCCTCTTCATCGTTTCCTTCTTGTTCTCTGTCCCTTCAGATGAGGGACTTAATGATAATAATAAATAATATTATTAATAATAATAATATATGAAGTGCTTACTATGCTCCGGTCTCTAGGCTTAGCACTTTTCATTCATCATTGGACTTGGGCCCCATTATAATTTATAAGGTAGGGATTATTACTAGCACCCCCACTTTGCAGACAAGAAACTGAAGCCAAAGAAGTCAGGTAACTTGCCGAAGGGCACATAAACTAGAAAGTGTTAAGGATCTCAATGTGACTGACATCATACCAGCTGTTCTTTTTCCATTGCTGTGTATTCTGGTCAACAGGAGAGAGTAGAGTGATTAAAATGTACCCTCAAAAGGTGCTCAACATAGATTCTGCTGAGGGCTGAGCCCTGTGGAAAGTTCTTAGGTGCCATATGATACTATAATTATTTGCCATCATATTCATTTTCATCTGGGAATAGTTAATCATATTTATAGTTCAGAGGCTTAAGAGGTTTAAGGGATGGGAGCAAAAAAAAAAAAAAGTCCAGAGCCCCATTAGGGCTACACAGCTGACTCTTCAGAGGAGACAGTGGATGAGTGCAATCATAAATACATAGCCCTGTACATTTCCATACCACCAGTTGTCTGACAGAGTTTTAAAGTGTATGACAAGTTATGGAAACATTTGACTCAAAGGCAGTGACCTCTTGGAAGATGCCAATGTTCCTGATGAAATGCTAAGGCAAGAGCCCTTTTCTAGTCTGTGCAATGTGGGATGCTGACTTTGGATATATAGAGGGATTGAAAGGGCCCATTTGTCCTTCTGAGTCACAAATAATAGATCCTAGCCTCTCAGCACTGATGTTGTATTGGCTTTGCCAAGGAAGCTAGCAAAATTAGGGTTTTTCTGAGCTTGTGTCTTTAACTCTCTTCTTGAGTGAACACGTATGCACTAAGTAGGACTATTGCGGTGATTGTCTATGATCCATTGCTTGTCTACCCTGTCACAACAGAACATTAGTAAGACTAATCAGCTTTGTATGCAATGTACCCTCCCTCTACACACACACACACACACACACACACACACACACATACACATACACACACACGTGTGCACACACACAGGAACTTATTTGTCCTCTCAAAGGTACCCTAGGAATTGCAAGTGAATTTTTTCACCAACTGAGAAATTTATGAATTCACATGATTTAAAGTATTAGATGCAATCAATATTTACAAAGAGAATGAATTATCAGCCTGGTGTTTCTGAAATTCTCTGTGTGGGTCTCCTACTGAGATCAAAGGAAGGAGAAGAACCATCAGAATTTGTGTTTAATGCATTTTTTGCACTGACTAAAGATAACTTATTTATGGATTTAGCTCTATTGCTGATGACTTAAAACTGATTAAATCAGTGCTTCTGCAGATCAACCTCTACATGACCATTTTTGATACACTGAGACTAATGTGTTTCACTCAGCAAATTCAACTTTTTCAAAATACTCTCCCCCAGGCTGAGCCTACCTCTCTTCTTTTCTTAGTTTCTAGTTCCAGGTGTCCAATGTCCTCCTTTTGCCACGGGGCTCTGAAATTCTACCACTGTATTAGTCATTTCCTCTAGCTGACAGGAAATGTAAAAGTTATACTAGATCCCCATTAATCAGACTGCATAATATAGTTTCACATCTCTACCTCATTGCTTGTGGCAGCCAAAGGAAGCAATGGATGAAGATGGCTCGAAAAACATATTTAGGAGAACAGAGAAAGACACAAGGAGATAGTAAAAATAGGAAATAATATTTTCCAAGCAAAAGCTAGACTGCCAAACACAAAGCATGCTCTGTGTGTGTGTGTGTGTGTGTGTGTGTGTGTGCATATGATACATAAGTGTACATAGTTTCTTTAGATACTTTCTCCATCTGGGGTGGAATATGTAATAGTAGTGCACCCACTTATATACACATTTAGACATTAAGACTTTCAACACACATGTAAGTGTGCATACACATATACATACACACACACCAAATTTTAATATCCTGTCATTTTGCTCAATAGTTGTGCAAAAGATGGCCTGGTTTTTCCCAAGTGTGTATTGTATGCCCATTATGTAGGGTTGTTTGATACACTTCAACTAGAAATAAAAATGAATCAACTTTGAAAGTTTTCTTTGGTTTCTAATATAACAAAAAGATGATGCTATATGTACAAAAATAGCACAGGAAAGCCAGGAGACAGACACAGGTTAAAAATGCTTCAGTAGTGCTTGGAAGTTAACAAACAACACAGAAATTAAAAAAAAATTAAACTCCAATAAAATCATATTAAGCATGAGAACCCGACTTGTTAAATTAAACCTAGCAGTGTTTGATGTTCTTATAACCCTTAGATTTACATGGTTCTTCAACAAGCAATGCCATTATATAGAAGAATGTTTAGCTGATTACTTTTGAATTTGAAAGCATCAAATTGTTAGATGGTCCATTTAGGAACTGGATGTCAGGGTGGGAATTATTATCATTTCTCCAAAAGCCTTATTTCAACATCAGTGTATAGTACCTTGATTTGTGTCTGCATATCTACTATTGAATTAATCACCTAATCACTTCTTTCTTCCCCTAGGGGAAAGTTACGTTTGTTCTTCAGACAACTTCTTTAAAAAGGTTGAATATACCAAGAATGTCAACCCAAATTGGTCTGTCAATGTAAAGACATCTGCCAATATGAAAGCCCCCCAGTCCCTGGCTAGCAGCAACAGTGCCCAGGCAAGAGAGAATAAAGACTTTGTGCGTCCCAAGTTAGTGACCATCATCCGCAGCGGTGTGAAGCCTCGGAAGGCTGTGCGTGTTCTTCTTAACAAGAAGACAGCACACTCCTTTGAACAGGTCCTCACTGATATTACTGAAGCAATCAAACTGGAAACTGGAGTCGTCAAAAAACTCTACACTCTTGATGGAAAACAAGTAAGTACCTTTTCAAAGTACTTTTCTTGTTTTTCTAAATCTTTACATGATCATTTCATATCTAAGCCATTATTCATGGAGGTAAGGCTCCCCCTGCACATCCCATCATCTTTAACTGATATTCTATATCTCATATGGAGAAAAGATATTTTCAACAGGCAAAACAGCGGACTAGGAATTGGACGCCTTGAAATTAAATCTACTTTTGATTTATCAGCCATAGTGGTTATGCCTCTACATAGTTAGCCTCTACTTCTTTACTTGCTAAGAAAACAAATGTTATAGAAACAAGATCTTATAAATTCATATGAATTTATCTACTACATAATTCAACTTTCACTATTAGATGCATATTGTTTGTGTACTCATTTTTAAAATTTTTGTTTGTTTATCTTTGTTTATTTGAGACAGGGATTCATTATGTAGCCTCAGTCAGCCTGCAACTCACTAAGTAGACCAGGCTGGCCTCAGTCTCACAGAGATCTGCCTGCTTTTGCCTCACAAGTGCTGAGATTAAAGTTGTCTGCTACCATGCCTGGCTGCACACTCATTTTATAAAGACACCCTCATGTTCGTATTCTCCAACCATTCTGAGGAAAGGAAGTTTAAATTACCTGCACGTAGGATGAAAGACAGCAAATAAGGGGAAAACACTGAAACCTCTGGTTCATTGTCCTTTTCTTACACTAAGCTACATATATAATTTTTTTCTCTTCCTTCTCCATGTGACATAGCTCTTTTAATTTGGTTCCACTGATGGTTTGTGCTAGAAAAGAACTATTCCAGGATCCTAAAATTAGCCCAAGAAAGATGCTACCATCTGTTCCCCTCCAAATCAGGTTCTTCATGTCATTGGTTACACTACTAAAGTACCACCTATATTAATATCTGGGAAAGAATGTAGCCAGGCATCTCCATTGGACAGATGCACCATTCTCTAGAGCATGGGGATCTGTAAATATGGAAGAAAAATGTTCCAAGGGAATTGGAACATTAGCTTGTTCTTCTAATTCAAAAGATGATATTGGTCTCCCTTCTAAAAGACAAGTGTAGATTAGCATCAGTTCATAATTCTACCTTTTATAGTACCCTTGTTGTTTGAACAATAATAGAGTCTCTAAATATGTAGATTCATTTACATCAGAATGATTGATAAGTGTTTAAATATGGAAGTATACGTCCTTCCATAACGGTTAATTTATAATGCATGCTCCACGATTTCACACTTCATAGAAAGTCACTTGTATATTATATTCCTCACAATTTTGATAAATTTGTGGCTTTCTCTACTCCTCGTTGTTTTATGATCCAAGGTACTTAGAGACATGGGTTCTAAAAAACTTGTAACAAAACAATGGGTATGTTTATGATGATGGAAAAAGTTCAAATTTCTAAACATCCGTCTAAGAATTTGGTCTTTGAATACCATGGATATAATAATCACAAGCTGCTCAGGAACAGGATTAATTGTCAAAAGCACATCTCAGAAAAATAGGACCTAAGAATTTTAGAACCATTAGATCTCAGAGTAGGGAGTAACTTTAGAAACTATATGGTTTCAACTGCCAACTAAGGCAAGGATATCCTCTATCATAGTTTCCTAAGAAAACCTTGTCTGGTATTCACCAATTATGCTATTTAGAAAGATCTCTCTTATTTTAGGCACAATTCTACTTTCCTTTTTCTTAGAGCTCTGAAAACAATAATGGAAAAATATAAGACATAATATTGGGATTAAGAAGATTCAGTTTCTAGTTTTGATATTGCTGTTTACTATGTCACTTTGGACTAATTACTTAACCACACTGGACCTCATACTCCTCTTTCCAACAAAGGGACTCACTACACCTGCCTTTCCTATGTTCACAGAATTATTGTCAAAACCTTGTGAAGACACTTTAAATTAAAACACATTTATAGGATAGGGATATGACTCAGTGGGTGAGAGCACTTTTTGTATAAACATGAGACTTGAAATGCCTGTAATGCCAATGTAGTGTGATGGGGTGGGGAATCAGAGACAGGAAGATCTTGGAGGCTTGCTGGTTTTCAACCTAACTCATGTTCACTGAGGGACTCTGTCTCAAGGGAATAAGTCAAGATACTGATAGAGCAAGACACACCTGATGCCCTCTTCTGGTCACTAAACAGTCATGGATACTGATGCTCACATTTATCACACATATACACCACAAACACACACACACACACACACACACACACACACCACACAATAAAAACAACCCTCCATATTTGCATTCTCTTAATAAACATTAGTGCTCTTCCCCTACTTTATGTCTTATTATGAGTTTCAATATTTTGTGAAGATGGACAATTCCTTGGCCTTTGGTGACTGCTCCTGATACACGTGTAAAAGGATGATACAACTCTTAGGTAAGCAAATATCTGTCCAACGATGAATCGATTTTTCACTTTCAACAGGCCATGCAGAATGGAAATCTCTCTCCAATGTCTTCAAATATCAGTTCCCATTTCTTTAGGGAACATGCTACAAAATACCACGATATGATAATGGTGTGTATGTACAGAAATGCAAGGGAGTGTTGCTCAATGGAGTGGGTAGTAGGTAATGCCTATTAAGGCACATTCCTCTGTATAAATAGGTCCTCTTTGTTAAAATGTTTCCTTATGTTCACTCTATCATTAGGAAGTCATTTTTTACAGTCAGGTTGAAATGCTTTTGCTTGTTTGAAGCAAGGGCTCACGTAGTGCAGGCTGGCCTTAAACTCATTATATTGCCTTGGAAGACCTTGAACTCCTGATTCTCTTGCTTCCATCTCCCAGGTACTTGGATTACAGGTGCACTATCATTGTCAGCTCAAATGTTATTTTTAGCTTCGCAAACTTCTGCTTCTACTAGGCATAGTAAGTGAAGTCTTTAAAAAAAACAGTATTAATGTTCAGCTCCTGGTGCATTATATTTAATAAATGGTAGTTGAATGAACTGGCATAGAGACTCTTCCATGGTCTGGGGGTAGACATTCTGAGATGCTCTCTTCTTGAAATTATCCTGATATATCCTTAGATCTATCAACAGAGATAGGAAATTTCCAAAAGAGTACATATTCCATCCCAGGAAGCTGACATTTTACTTGGAAGTCATTGAGAGAAGACATTTAAAACAGTTTCCCAAAGCATATTCTAAAAAAGATTATCTTCATCTCCCCAACCCAAAAGCTCTTCAGAAAAGGGTGCCATAGGGATGTAAAATACTATAAATTATATACCTTTCTTTGACATTCACAATTTTCATGTTAAATAATAAAAATTTGGAAATGCATAGACCAATCTACTAATCTAAAATAGGTCCTGAGTATAATGAAGGTTGATACTGAACTCAAAATTTTTGAGCTCATCTCACTTTCCACTTCAGTATAACAGCTCTCATATTACCACCTGTCAGTCACTTTGGCTATTACTGAGTATTCTCACTACTATATATACAATCTGTATTGTAATAGCTTTAACTTGTGTGGGTGAAATTCCAATGCTTCTCTTTAGTTTCAAGTGACACCAGGTACTCAGTTGGAAAGGTTTACAAAAAATGGCCAAAACTATTTGCTAAGGAACATTTTGTTTATGAAATCAAGGTCATAGCTTGACTTCTTACAGGACACAAGATCAATCAAATCAAGTGTTTTGTCCTCTTCCTCAAAATAATGATCAACTCAAAGACCCTAGCTGGTTATGTAAAATTAATTTAGTTGACTGGCTTACATTGACTGACAAGCATTCTGTGTTCATAGTTCTCCTTTTTGTATCTTTGTTCAGATGTGCCTTTGGAGTTTTTATTCTTTGAGGGTCTTGTATTTTGCTAGCATGGAAAATTGATTTCTCCATCTCTCCTTGCCTCTGAGATAATGTGTGTAGATGGGAAAACTAGAACTATGTGGTCAAAACTTTTTCCTTTCCTTGATAAATTGCTAGCAGAATAAGGAGTGTTTGTCGGTAGTGGCCTGGTTGCTCTCAGGAGCTGAAATGGCATTCTAAGAGGACAAGCAAGACACAGTGGAGGGTTGGCTGATGACACATCTTAGTACATGCTCAGGTGAGATTGTTCATTTGATTTTTTGGTTACTGGAATATTTGCAACGTTTTCACAAAATTACCTGAATATTAATTTCCACACTCAAGCCACACATTGACCCTAATATTTAAAGACCAAAGAAACACAAAAACTGAAAAATAATGTTTTTATTTACTTGGTGGCAGTGGTTAAATAGGGTAGCTGGTCTTGTCACAACATCTCAAAGCAGCAGAGAACGTGATGTTTCTGTTACAAGTATGGAGCGCTAATAATGGACTTGCAGTTGCCATCATATGCCAGAGTGTAGCTGGTCTTCATATCTTCATAATACCCATTTTCATGATACTCTGATTGGCATCTTGAGATTCAGATCCACACCCAGGATCTGAGCAAGATGAAACTACATTATTGCCTCAAGATGCGTGCCTAAGGCCTAAATATGGCCTTTACCATTTCTGTTCCCATTGTTAGGCCAATTTTCAAATGAATAAATTCATTTCCTATTTATGCTAGCATCTTTCTAATACTGAATACTTAGACCAGAGATTCTAAGTCTCAGTATAACAGGAGATAGTTAAACAGACTCCAAGACTGACCAAAAGATTTTATCTCTTGAGTAGGAGTTTGAAGGAAATATATTTCTAAAAAATTTATTTTCTTTCTTTTCATCTTAGTAGAAATTTGAAAACATATATAGAATGTCCCTTTCATGGGTATGTACTTGATTTCCTTTCTTCTTGATATTTGTAGGCTCTTTATGTTTTCCAACAGAGAGAAAACATGTGCTTTCTTATTTTCTTTTTGTTTTTTAGTTTTATTTTTTATTGAATTTTTATGATTTTCATACAATATACTTTGATGGTATTTAGATCCCCTCTGCTATCTACACCTCCCCATACTGTGCCCTGTCCCGCCCAACTGTATATATGTATGTGTGTGTGTATAGAGTCTG